ATTCCTGAAGCTTGATGGAAGGATGTGAGTGGAATGCTGTGAAATAAGGTTATAAATTGTGTTTAAGATAGAAGAAGTCACAGTTGTAGAGAAATAGTGTGAAAAGGTAAAATATAATAAAGGTCAGATAGGGTCAATAAATACCATAACTTTTCTAGGGTTTGAAATTCCATCCCCATAAATTAAGAGCATTAGAGCAGTTTACTGATTGCTTAAAAAGGATAATCATCTTACGAAATGCAAAGGAGGATCTACGCCTTGTCTTTACAAGCCTCTCAAAAGCTGTAATTCTGCCAGGGAGGACATAGGTTGTCAATGTATGCCAAGAAGATAAGCTGTAGCCATAAAGCTAAATTTGTTCTCTGCATCAGTTTTGTCTCGGGAGAACTTCTGCTGACCGCAGTATGCAATATTTTGGATGGAAGGATGATCTCAAATGAAGAACTCAGTAGAATTTTTTTTAAAGGAAAATATAAAATAAATAGGAATAAATCCCCAGGAGTAACCAGTGGTCACAATAGGCTTGAATATATTTTAAAATTACCTCAGATAGAAACCTTCTGGACTACTGATTCTTACATGAACTAAGTTAGCTGAAAATGCCACAGGAATCAAAGATGAAAAGAAGCACCTGAGTTTCTTTAAAAAGGGCTGCAAGGAGGATATGCAAGTCTGGCTTCTCTACAAAGAAAATTCATGGGAACTAAATAAAAACAGAACCAACATGCATATATGGGAGATATAATACGATGTGGGAGAGTCAGCCTGGGTTTTGTAAAGAGAAACCATCTCTTGCAGATCTATCGCGGCATGCAGATAAATGTTGCACAGTCACTAGAGCATAAATGAATTTCTATGCACCTTTCAACAATATGTATTAACAAAGACTTTCAAGGAAATAAATTTTGTAGGTCAAAAGTGGAATTATTCTTTTTTTCTGGATTAATACCTTTTAAAAAAAGCTCTCATGTCAAAAGGGAGATACTGGCAAGATGCTGACAAAAGAGCAAATGAACTTCCATGAGTATGTAGGTTAATAGATATGGAGAAAAAAACCCATTATATTAGAACAATTGAGAACAATTGTAGTTAAGAATAAAGAGAAAACAAAAAAAATCAGTATACTCCTACCTACGGCGTTTCCATCACCTCATCTTGTAAATATATTTTATATCTAGTGATGTGGCAGAGATGGCAGACAACACTGACAATGATCAGCAGTAGTCAATGATTTCTGCATAAGGGATGTTTTAAAAGATTAGGACTTTGAAGGTGGAAAATCAAGTATTTAAGTATCCAGTATTCATCCCATGTGAAATACTGTCCAGTAAAATATACTAACAGAAAAGTTTAATTACGCAAAAATTAAACTGTAGCATTTACTTTTAGGATGTTGTAGAGGCTGAAAATATAAATTAATTTCATGTAAGTTCTAGATAGCTAAAACCAGTATGTCTGGAGCTATTAAACACAGTATTCCAGAGGTAGCTTTAGCTCAGAAAGATCACTAACATGCAGACTGTTAGAAACTAAATACTACATCAGGGGAATTATCATGCTATGCTTACCAGCTTTCCTTCCTGTTTTCCCTTATTGTTGGGTATTGACTGCTTTCAGACACAAGTGAGATGAGTATTACCAGCCATACTATGTATTTCATTGTATTAGACTCTTCAAAGATAATATTTTGAACAGTTAGTATTATGAACAGGAATATTTTGCCCTTACCTACTCCGTCTCCCAGGAGACAGGCAGTAATTTTAAAACAGTAAAGTTGCATATGGTTTCTTGTAATATCTGTGAACACACTAATTAAAGAAGCTTGCTTTTAGAAAAACAGGAACTTCAATAAATTACGAAGCAAAAAAGGTTTGATGTAAAGGTTAGATAATCCTGCACAGCGTGATGAACCCTGGACCTGTCTTTACTTTTATTCCTGTGACAAGGAAAGCTGAATGATGCTGATGTCTTGAAAAGCATGCAGCGCATAAAAAGAAACCAGCAGGAAATTTGAAAAAGGAAGGACAGTGCTTTGTTGGAAGTAACTTTTCATCCTGAGTACAATTAAGCTCCACAGACAAGCAGGCTATTATATCCTGTCGCTAAATATCACAACCCAAAGTCTCCTAATGAACTGATTAGCATTCTTGTTTCTTTAGGAAGTCAGATATATGCACAGTTGGTGCACTCTTTTATTGCCAAAGTCTAGTTATGAATATTTCTCCTATATATTAGTTTGTGCTAGTTTGTTAGTCATCTTATATATAATAGCTGCAAAGAAGTTATAGTTATTATTGCAGTTCTTCTGTTTGCTTTAATTATGAAAGTGAAATAATATTGGATTGTTATTAATCTAGAGTATTAAATCCAAAGAGTGAAATGTTCAACAAAAGGCATAGTGAACAAAATACACTTTTATGGTCAAAATAAAAATTTATAAGGTTTATGGAGAATATTTAAATTGCATATTAAAAGCTTAATTAAGCAATTTAGTCAACATGCTCTTTATCAGTCCAGATTTCATCTCATGATTTTCTAAGTAGCAGCTGAGAAACTCTTGACAGGTTTCATCCTGCCCCTAAATGTAGTGTTCATTTTTACAGAAGCTTATGGAATTAATACTTGAGAGACTGTCAGTTGGATGCTGCCTTTCAGCTAGGAACAGAGTTTTTTTAATCAGTTCTCTGTTCCTCTTTCCTTGTCATTTAAGTTGATTTGTTGACATTATTAAATGAGAAGGAGCAGCACTTCCCCAGGTCAGAGCCTGATTCAAGTGAGGCAGAAGAAACCCATTGCAACTGCAAGGAAGAGACTACACACTTCCTCTAAACCATCAGTTACTTAATCAGCCTCATAGTTTGAGTTTCTTACTGTGCAACATAAACAAACTGAGGTCTGTAAGATGTCCTTGCATCCCAAGCACTTTGGGGGATTACAGTACCTGAGTTTGTTAGGTGAAAAAAGATTGTATGTTGCTCTTTGGGAGAGGGTCAAGATGTTGACTGTGTGGACAGTTATCAAGACAGGGTTTTGGCAAGCAACATAACTTTAAACATATAACCCCTTACACAGTTCATTAACATCTAGTCTGTATTTCAGGTGTGTATTACAGCTGGCACTGGTTTTGCTCGTAATATATGGGAAATACTCAGTGGATGCAGCAGCTCTGTGTGGTACAAATACACATCAATTTGTTTTAGTATGATAGCACAGAGATCAGTAAGAGAGTGTGAGCCAAGAAGAAGGTATTCTTTGGCAAAGCCTCTTCAGATGGTACAAATTTTAAAAACATAAACATTTCTGTGTGTTTCTTGAACTATTATATTCCGATGCATAATTTTACTGTTTTACCTCACTATATGTAAATAAAAGGAAATCTCCAGGACACATTTTTCAGACAATTGCAACTGTTTTCCCAAGAACTTGATGTGGAAACTCCTCAACAGAGCCCTACCACATTCACATCTTTTGGCCTTAGTAGAAAATAATTTGTTGAAATGCTGGTTTGAAGTGACCTCAAAGTCTTTTTGCACTAGTTTTCTGGCACCAGTCTTTAAAGAGTTTGCCCTGGTTTTTCTGAAGACTATTGCTGTCTAGTGTAGTGGCAGTCTCAATTCCATTTTGAAGATTCTGCTAAAATATATGCAGCGTCTATGCACCTGTTATTCCTTTGTTCTTATGCAGATTAATACTCCTTTTTCAGTTGCCTGCACTTAAAACATAGTGCAGTTTTTTGGGAAAAAAACCACAAATGGTGAATATCGGTCTTTTAAGGAAATGTTTGGTACAGATTAATATTTCTTATTACCTGTTCTAAGGTAACAGCTGCTTTTACTTGTCTTGATACTCCTCACTATATTAGTATTTTATATATCACCATATATTAAAATCAGTATAAACTTCAGACAAGCAATTCACTATAAAAAGAGCTTCCAGGAATATGCAAGATGACACATATAACAGTTAGAAACTTTGCCACAGATATTATTCATCTCAGCCCTACATTGCTTTCCTGTTCCATTAATGAACAGAATGATCTGTAGTCCCATGAGTCCAAAAAGGCAGTCTGTGAACTGAAGACACTTCAGAAAAAGTTAACAAATAGCTAACTTCTTGATTTCCTTTTCCTCCCACCTGTGTTACAGCTCTGCTGTACTTCTGTCTTCATTCATCCAAAGCCAATGAATTGTGTAGCTGATAATGCATATACATCAACCTGTTCATAATAATTACAGATGGGATTGCTGTACTCAGTAGTATTCCCTGTTGTCTCCAGTTTAGCTAGTGCTGGCTAACAAAAGCCATATTTAAGAAAAAAAGGAAGAGGACTTATTAAGCACCTAAATTGAAGCACAGTCTCAGTAGGATGCCAAGAGCTTAGGTTATCCCATAATGCACCAGATGGAAAATAAAAATCTCAGGATTCCTTGTGACTGGTGTTGAAATACTGGACAGTGAAATATCTTTCCAGAGTGCTGTATTTTGAGTTTAAAATTGTGCATCATGTACTCAAGAAGAGTCAGTTTTAACAGGATAAATTGAGCAGCCTATATGGATGCTATTAGCATAGCTGTGAGTTTAAGTTTAGCTATGTCTTGCAGAATATCACAAAAAATTTGTCTCTCTCACCTTCCTACTTCTCAGGGGGTTTTTTTAGGATATACTCTGGCATATCATTCATTTACAAGATGATATATGCATTTTATCACTAATTTTAATATTTTTTTCCTCAGGTTTTTTCCTTCCTAAATGTTGTGGTTTAGGCCCAGCTGGCAAAATGTAACCACACATCCACTCACTCATCCTTCCCCCCAGTCACCAACCCAACACACTAGAAAAACTGAAGAAAGTTACTGGAATGTTTAATGTATGGCTTTTATATACACTGACAATAAAATACATTTATTGAATTTTCCTTTACCATTCTACTCCTTGGAAATAAACAGGTTCATAATTGCAAAAAGTACAGTAGTTTTCCCAAAGTTTTGTTAACGATCTAAGAATCACAAATAAGTATCCTAAATTGTAGGATCAAAAATAAACAGAATGCAGAGATGCTTCATTCTAGCTTCATTAATTTTACTGTTCTCCTTTATTACACTTTTTTTGTTGTTTTTGTTAGTTTGGGTTTCTTTTTGAACTGCTGACATTTCTTTAGATGGTCCTAATTTGTGTTTTGTTAGGTTGTGTTTCTCATAAACCTTTTTTTATTTGATAATTGGACAGCTGTTATTTACTAACTTCTTATCAACTGTTCTTGCTGTCCCACCAATAACTTTTTAACATCCTTCATAATTTTAAAGAAACTCAGCTCTGAAGGGTAGTTTCCTGTAAGCTTGGTGCATCTTGGGAGCTAAGTAAGGGAGAGATTCAATTTGATATGGAAAAAGCAGGCCAACAACATCAGTTCTCCTTGAGCTGTTTGAGCCAGTCAGCACAGGCAGTCTGAGCTGTATCTTATAAAGTCAACAGAAACATGAAAAGAAGCTCATAATGGCAAAAGAGTGTTGTCAGAGGAAGAGAAAGTCTGAAATCAAGTGGTTGGGGGGTGAGGGAAGGTGTCTCATTTAAAATCATCAACATCTAGGCTTTAGTTAGTCCTTTTCTACAAGGCTGTCATAGTGGATACTGCTCTGCCCTTACAGATCCAACTAATAGCCATCTTACTGTCTAATTTGCATGTTTTGAAAGTGCATTAGTTCTCCTTTCCTGCATGTGTCTGAGAACATTGTTGTATGACTTTCTGGCATGGGTTCTAAATCACAAAACAAAAACTTAACTGTTTCCTTGGTACTTTACAAGCAACGTTGACAACCCAGAAGGTCGTTTAGTAGCAAAATTCAAATGAGATTCAACTTCTAAACAAAACTGAAAGAAGAGTGCATCACAAAAAACCTGAAGAGTGAAAGCAGGAACCCAGCAGTGAATTGGTAGGATGTATTTAAAAGAACACGGTGGACAAAAAATCTGTTTGTCTAGATGTTATTGTGCTTGACTAAAAATCCTGTGCTTCATGAAATGAAGTGGCAATAGTCTATACAACTAGTATAAAGTTTACAAATACAGTAAATTCTTTTCTGGAGTAGTTGGGATATGGACAATTGGTAGTAGAGGTAAAATTGCCATTTCTTGTCTTTTGTAGTCTTTCCTGCCTCAGGAAAATAATGGAATATAAATATTTGTTTAGCTCTTGTTTCATTAAAGTAAACACTTTATGAAGTTGTCCTACATAAGGAAATGACTACACATAACATTGAGGTCCTTTGACAAACTGCATTATCGAAAGTCTTGAATAAACACAGGTTTTAAATTTCACTTATGGGGTATTTTGTTGCTGTTTGTAAATTGTCTCTTGTAGAGGTAGTTCTATTGTTTTCAGCTCTAATCTAATTAAGTTGTATTGACATTGCAGATAGCCTTAGAAAAAGCATAAATATGTGATGCAGCCACCAGGAACAGAAAGTAATGCATTGCTGTTGCTGCAACAGGATTTTAAAAGCAAGCTTTTAAGATGAAATTTTTAGTCTTTCATGGTGTTTACTTTTAATATGGTTTAATTTTGTTTATTAATATTTCTATTTTACTCTGATTTTAGTTGGAATTATACTTTTTCTTGATGTATTAAAGTATTCAGGTTAGTTATTGGTATCTGTGCCTAAATATAATGTAAATTGTAATTTATATACCTAAATCTTTAGCTTCAATAAGGAGACAGTGATACTAAATACGTTACATAGGTGCTTGAAGTTAGATTAGACGTATACTTTCAGTTTCATGCAAAATTACATGCTAATGGAATAAACTTTAAAGTGATAAAGAAAACTTGATGAAAGCACCCTGATTTATTCATAGGCCTAATATACACAGTGAATACTAGGAAGGTTATATGACATGGAAGGAATTATTTTGAATCTTTATTTGCTGTAAATGAAAAATGTATGTGAAATGCAGATCACTGTAAGTAAAAATCATGGGTTTACTTGGATTCACTGAGTATTTTTGCAGCCTTAACAGCCATGTACAGCTTTCTAGTTCATGCCAAAGAAGATTTTCAGAAACTTTCACGGATGCACGAGAACATGGAAAAACTCTATCAGAATGTGATGGGATATTATGCTATTGATCTGAAGAAAGTCTCAGTGGAGGAGTTTTTAACAGACTTAAACAACTTCAGGACAATGTTCATGGTATGGTCTGTTTATTTTATGCCTAATGTTGCTTGGAAAAAATTTTTGCAATCTTTCAGATACTGAGTAAGCTAAAAAGAATTTTCTTTCTCCTCAAATGGTATCTGATACATCAGAAATGTATATTCTAAATTCTTAGGTTATTGTAAGGTATTCTGAATTCTTATTTATGGATTATTTCTTTCTGAAATAATTAGAAATTCCTGATAACATTGGATTTAATTCAAAACTGAGCCTCTTATATGCATGTATAACCTGAAGGGAAAAACCTGAAACTAACTTTTTGAAAGACAACTACATTTTCTGTTTAAAGGATGCTTGTTTTTTACTTAAAAAAATAAATATTATAAGAATTGTTCTATATTTATAATTCACACTCTTGTATGCAAAATCCAGACCCAGGTTTTTATTTTGTTTAAGTTTTCGTTTGCCTGCAACAACTGATCAGTGTCAAGGTTGGCATCTGTAAGTAGGTTCCCTGCAATGGAAACTCAGAACTCCTTGTCTTGGCCGAATCTGTTTATAAGCTCTTTTTAATTTTTGTGACAATAGATTGTCTAGGTTTTGGGGGTTTATGCATTTTAAATGCTTACTTTATTATTTTCTCTTTTAAAAGGATGAATTAATATTTTCAATATTTGAATCATATTTTAATAACAGATATTAGGCCGATACGGGTTATTGGATAGTTCCTTTTGTGCAGAGCTCAGAACATTCTTATAACTATAATTTAGACTCAGTGTTCGTTTGCAGAGCTTTGACTTAAAGTCATCTAAAATGATCTTGTGTGGAGGTTAGCTCTGTTGTTCTATCATAGGGTAGCATTGACATTACGTATACAAATGCTTGCATATATTAGCTCATCGTAAAAGCTCAAGCTCTTATTTAGGATTAATAGGGATTGCTATTTTTAGTGATTTATAACTATGTTCAGATTGGTAAATTTAGGGAGCCAGGGACAGGTTGTTAATTTTATGTGGAGGTTGTGGATATTTTCAGTTGGCTTTTTTTAAAGCTTTCTTTGCAAAAATAGTCTTTTCTCATTGATTCTGAACTCTTGGCTGGTAAGCAACTCTTTCTCAATGAAGAAATGGAAGAATAAAAAAGCAGATCCCCAGTTGTCTGTAAATTAATTAATTTGGATAACTTGGAAAAGGTTACTCTTGTCGCATCTGACTAACAGCTTAACTTACTGGCTATACTCCTGCAGCAATGTTACCTGAGCATGAGCTTTGTGACAGAATCCAAATCAGTGATCCAACTCATGCCTGTTGATCTGTAGAAAGATTAAATTAGTAATTTTATCATCTACTCCTCATTGCAGCCTGACTCTTATAATTACAACACACTTACTTAAGCTGCTTGCATGTTTCCCAGTCTAGTTTGATTTTACTTGGTTCATTGGGGTTTTTTTAAGATTTAATAGACATATCTGAGGATGCACATAGAGAAAAATACTTATTTTGTAGATATTGAGAAAGAGTTTGAAATTCCTGTGTTCATCTGTTTTAAGGAAAGGACTTAAACTGGAATCTCTATTTAGTAAACATATTGGAACATGTAAAGATTACTATGCCATTGCTACTTCAGAGTTAAATAGCTAAAAATCTAGAAGGCACAGTCTTCAATCAGAATCATTTTGCTTGGCAAGTTACGTGTGCCACATTTTTTAACGTGGGCACTGATCATGTTTTCCTAACTTGATCAGTGCCTAATTTGAAACTCAGAAGTCTGATTTAAAATTTGCTAAATATTATGAAATGGTTGTATTACTGTAATTTTTTATTTTAAACCACACTTCCCATTTCAGTGCTGTAGAATAAGAATTCTAAATGCTTAGGTTTATCTTGAATTGGAGATTCAAAGAAGTGGTTGTGCTTTACCTTAATATCCCTGTATTATTTTGTTGTGTCTGTAAAATTAGCACTGATGCTAACTTCTGCCTCAAAGCAGTGTTATAAAAATAGATTAATTAATGCTTTGGAACAGTTAGATATTATTGATGAGCAAGATGAAAGAAACTCTGAGGAAAATTAATAATTCTGTTTTGCAGAGCACAGTTTGAAGGCTATATAAAAAAGGTGTGTAGATAAGGCATTAAACCTCTTATCATTCAGTGACACTAAACAAAATAATTGAGTAGCTGCTCACTTATGAGACTTTTCTGAAAGATTTTTGAGATGCCTAGCATGAGACACCTGAGGTCTGATTTTCAGATTTGTTTAGCATTGGTCTTAATTCCTGACAGAAACTAAAGGTGGTTGGTATCCTAGAAAATTTAGCTGAAAAGAGTTTTAAATTTAGTGCTGAAAAATCATTGGATTCTTAAGAAGTCCATAGTTAAAAGACTACGTAATTCACCAACACCAACTATTTTTTTGTTCCCAATTACTGAAAGTATTAAAAGGTTTTAAAAAAATACATCTAAGTCTGGAGCTATCGACTTCAGGTTCATACCAAACTGAGCTGGAAGGGTCCCATCAGGATCACCAAGTCCAACTCCTGTCCCTGTGTAGGGCACCCCAAAAATCCCCCCTTGTGCCTGAGAGCATCAACCAAATGCTTCTTGAACTCAGGCAGGCTTGGTGCTGTGACCACTTCCTTGGGGAACTTGTTCCAGTGCTCAACCACCCTTGGGTGGAAAACCTTTTCCAGTACCTAAACTAAACCTCCCCTGGTTCAGCTTCCTGCCATTTCCCCAAGTCCTGTCATTGGTCACAGAAGTGAAGAGATCAGTGCCTGCCCCATCTCCTCTCCTCGTGAGGAAGCTGTAGACTGCAATGCGGTCACCCCTCAGTCTCCTCTTCTCCAAGTTGAATAATTCAAGTGCTGCTCCTCATAAGACATCCTATCCAGACCCTTCACCATCCTTGTGGCTCTCCTTTGGACACTCTCCAATAGCTTGATGTCCTTTTTGTATTGTGGTGCCCAAAATTGCACACAGTACTCAAGGTGAGGCTGCATCAGTGCAGAGTAGAGCAGGAGAATCACCTCCCTCGACCGGCTGGCAACACTGTGCTTGATGCACCCCAGGACACAGTTGGCTCTCTTGGCTGCCAGTAACTTCTTCTGGAAGTTACCTTTGCATGCTGTGCTGTAGGCTGAACACAGTGCTGTTGTATAAAGCAAATGTGGTCAGGCTGTGTCTAACTTTTTAGGCCTTTTTGAGCAAGGAAGTGTTAAGACATTTAAACTTTGAAATGCACATAGTGTGAGAGAGAAATGTGTGTATGTCTCAGCCAAGTTTGTGACAATTCTTGATATAAACATTTTACAGAGTTTGAGGCACCTATGTATTGCATTGAAAACAAAGAATATGTAGGATAGGATTTAGCTCTAGAGCATAGATCACTAAACATTGGCATCTGTATGTGAACTTGTGTCTAATATTGTGCTCTAGTCAAGGAAGTTGCATCCTCAGTACAGTTAGTGGGATTTGGAGAATTGTCTACCAGATGTCTCAAAGGAGACCTAACAACAGAGGTGCCTAGTATCCTGGAGAGGTGTCTTGAATGGTATCCAAGACATCATCAGCCTGAATTTTTAGATTATGAAACAGTACTTAAGGAAGACCAGTGTCTTTCTGGACAAATGCTGGAGGCAAGGTGTGGTATTCCTAAGCATCCAATTTTCATTGAATATGAAGGTGTGAGCTATTAAATCAAGCTCAGTTCATCAGAATCAGTAGAAAGGAAGAGACACCCACACTTGGATTACTGCAGTCTGATGCTGAGTCCTCATGGCATTATTTAAGGGGGCAAAAATAGATGCAAAGTAGAAATTTCCTTGGTCACTCTGTTAGGAAAGTGTGTAATTCTGCCAAAACTGTACTTACAGGTCACATTTGATTTTGCCCAGCAGTTTGTTTTACAGAATACCCAGCCTGCAAATCAGCAAATAATTTGTTAAAAATAATTCAATGCAGACTTGTAGCTTTTTGTAGTAGGTGCCTTCCTTCCTCCACCAGTATCAAGAAAATTGTCAGAGGTAACCCTGTAGAAGATACGGTTGAAGTACAGCTTTGCTTTGTTAAAAATTTCATTTCATTGTCACTTTTTATGATTGAAAGCTTATTCTTCTTCAGTCCTCAAAGACAGGTATTTCCTCACAAGATTTATGTGGGTTTTAGTTTGGTTTTTTTCCTTCCTTTGGTCACTGTCTATGGCAGTGATGCTACAAACAGTACCCATCAAATATTGCTGTTACCTTCTTTTGTCTGTGCTTCATACTACTCTTCAGTCCATTCTTACTGTTGTGGTTTTTTTTGTTTCTGAGTGGAGGCTGGACAATTTCCTGGTAAAAACAACACAAGACATTAATTACCTCTGCAAAAGTGCAGCCTTTACCACAGACCTAGTGAAAATGTTAGCCATTTTGTAAGAGGGGACACTATTCTATTGTAAAAGATAAGATTTTGTGTGTAACTGCATTCTGAAAAGGGAAACTTTCTGCAATGGAGAATATGTATGTCACTTTACATTGCATGCAAGCCACAGCAAAGCAGTGAGAATTTACCACTACAATAGCTACCACTAAAATAAAGAAAAGGTAGGCCTAACATAGCTCTGTTAAAAATAATTGAGTATGACACAGTTTTTTAAATATCTGAATATGCAGAAGAATGATTTAGAAACTTTGAAACTCCTAGTTCTGTTTTGGCTTCACCTGAAGCTTTGGGGTACTTACTTATAATTCAAAATAAACAGTATTGTACAGGTATTAAGCAGAAGCCAAGAATTTATAAACCCAATGAATGAATGCGTATGTGGATCAGAATAAGAAAAATGCACAGTTAACCCAAGCAGCCTTGTTTTGCTTGGCATAGTGGCAATATGAGAAAGAAAAAATGTTGAAAACATTATAGAAATACAAATAATAGCATACTTACAGTTTTGTAAAACCAGGTGGCTTCCTACATTAACTTTTTTATTCTTAAGAGTAATTTCTTGCTGAATTTAGAATCCCCACATGGGAGTAATTAATATGCTTCTAATGCATTTATTCTGAATTTGCTTAGTCTTCTGAATAAAATGTACTAAATATGGAATGTAAAATATTCAGCTTGATAAATTAAGGTGAGTTAGGAGAATTGATTTTAAAGCTTCTTGCCTCGTTTTTAGGGTTCAGTTTTGGTTTTGTTAAGACTTCACATGTAATGGAACTGTTGCTGTTTTTTTCACAGCAAGCAGTAAAGGAGAATATGAGAAGAAGGGAAGCGGAAGAAAAACAGAGACGTGCAAAAATAGCTAAGGAGAAAGCAGAAAAAGAAAAACAAGAGAGGCAACAAAAGAAAAAGCGCTTGTTAGAAATGAAAACAGGTAAGTAATGAAGAAAACATATTTTACCTAGCATGGTTATAAAGCTGCTATTTCATTATCTGAATGTGCTATGAGAAAGGACAGAATAAATTAATTATTTTAAACAATTACATTTTACAGCAAAGGGGTTCTTAAGTTTCTTTTTGTTAATGAGCTTCTCTAATTATCTGATTTTCTCAAGCTATTTTAGAACTTGTAGTGCTGCTTCGTGTTTTTTCTTTAGATTACATTGAACCTTGTGTG